GTTTTTTTTTTAGCAAAACTGGATTTTTTTCTAAAAATAAACAAAATTGGTCTTATTAATGTCCCAGATAGCAAACATAGTCTGCTGGCTTGATAAAGTTGGCATCCCGCTGGCTGTTTGCCACTGCTGGTCCACCGTCGGACCACCCAGGTTATTGTGCTGCATACCAGGTCTCCTAAATAATTAATTAAAACAGATTTTCAAGGTACATATACTTTTACTTTAAAGCCAGCTTTGCTGTCAGCAGGCCACACTGTCCAGCGTTTTCCTTATCTTCTTGCTATCTGGGATGCTATTGTGCCTGTGTTGTAAAGAGATTTGTGTAAGATTTTCATGTAAGGCTTCATCATGATTTCTCCTCAATCTTTTCTCCCCTTTCTGAGCCTTGTGGCCCCCTCTAGGCCACTGGCAGTTAGAGGCCCCTGTGCACTGACCTGGTCCATAAACCCCACCCGTCATGGACAGAAAACACTCCCCTAGCCCAGAGACCCCCCAATACCACGTTTCACTCTCAGAGACATCACAGTACAGAAGGAGAGTGAGTTATGATTTCCCATTCATGTTAATAAGACGTTAAATGACTGCACACGTTTAAAGAGTTACTTATTTTATGCAGGTGAAACTCGCAAAATAAAGCTTTTAACATAAAATCTCTCAATTTCTCACGCCAGACAGATCTCGACACCTCAGATTTGTACGTTCATCATCTCAAGTTTTTTTATTGAACAAAATGCACACATTCATATTCAAAAATCAAAACAACACATGGTCTACGCCACAAAAGTCAAATCACTAAATTTGATTGGTATAAACTACAGTTACGCTAAATCTGTACAGTGCATGGTTTATTCAGAGTTCGCATGTATTTGCCAAAAATGGGTGGGTGGTCTCGACAGACAGCAGAGCATTTTTAGAAATATTTTAATGTTTTAATCTTGGATTCAATTATAAACAAAACAGTGTCAAAACAGTTATAAGATAGTTTAGTTGTTCAATGCAGAAATGCAATTACATATAGATCATTTTGAGGCTGGTTTAAGTGTGTTAAGTCAATTTCGAGTCTATTCAGAACAAGAGTTAATATATTAAACATACACTATATGTCCAAAAGTTTGTGGACACCTGCTCCTCCAGCGTTTCTTCTGAAATGAAGGGTATTAATAGTGAGTTTGTGCTGCAGTTACAGCCTCTGCTCTTCTGGGCTTTACTCTAGACGCTGGAACATTGCTGTGAGGATTTGATTGAGCATTAGTGAGGTCAGATACTGATGTTGGATGGTCAGTTCTGATTCACAAACTCATCCCAAAGGTACTGGATGGAGCTGCATCACTCCAGAGAACACAGTTCCACTGCTCCACAGCCCATTGTTGGGGGCTTTATACCCCTCCAGCCCACACTTGGCATTGGACCTGCTGACTTCAGGCTCATGTGAAGCTGCTCCAGAGCGTCCTGTTCTACAAGCTGCATGTGCCCAATTGAACGCCTGCATTTGCGATGGATTTGCCTTAAAGAGCCCATATCCTACAGCCCTGCTTCCAAAAAAGTTGGGACGCTGTGCAAAATGTAAATAAAAATAAAATGCAATGATATGCAAATCGTTTAAACCCTGTATTTAATTGAAAATAGCACAAAGACAACATATCGAATGTTGAAACTGAGATATGTTATTGTTTTTTGAAAAATATAATTCATGTGTTTTTTTTGCTCCTGAAACATTTTTAATTGATTATCCAACCTTACGTTTAAACAGGCTGTTTTGTTACTGTCCCTTTAAGACTGATATGTAAATGACCTCAATTCTGATTGGCTGCTTTATTAAAAAAGCAGCCCGCACTTAAACACTAATAACTTCAGTGTGAGTGGGCGGGGCTAAACTGCTGTAGATGAAAAGAGGGTATATGTAAATATGACCGTCTGTGTGACATCACAAAAACAGTGAATTCAAACCAGGCTGTTTTAGCAGCTTAGTTCCCATATATGTATAGTACACACTGGGGAGTGAATGGTAGCAACGTCCACATACTACTGTTTCACAATATATACTATTTCATAATTTTAATATGAAACATTTATCTAGTACTTCATAAGTTTACTATATAAATAACACACTGTTATTTCATAAAGTGAGGAAGATTCAGTTTTCCATGATATGGGCTCTTTAAAGTAGCTGAGGTCACTAATTAGCAGGTTACTAATTCTCCCTTAATTTGAGCCCCTGAGTGTCGTCTGCCTGAGTCGCCACATGGGAGCCACCAGAGCTGCTAGAGTCACCAGAGCTGCATCTCTGTTGGCTGATCTGCACCGTTTTGACCACCATGGAGTTTCACGCTGTACAAAGCTGTACAAACCTCACCTCCATGAACTGACCCTCCTGCTGCTGCTGCATAAACTCAAACTATCTAATTAACCATTGCTCCGCCTGTTTTCCCCGTTCTGTATTCTACTAATGCTGTTTGTTATCCGGTGTGGACCAGAGGAGGATGGGTTCCCCTTTTGAGTCTTGGTTCCCCTCAGTGTTTCTTCCTCTTGCTCTTAGGGAGTTTTTCCTTGCCACTGTCTCCATTGGCGACGCTCATGGGGGCTCGGACCCGGATTTTTCTGTAAAGCTGCTTTGTGACAACGCCTGCTGTAAAAAGCGCTACATAAATAAACTTTGACTTGGCTTGACTTGAATTAGCAGGGCTGTCTGGATACTTTTGGACATACAGTGTTTAAGTTAGTGAGTGGAGCTGGTAACACTAATCTGCCAGCTCAGCATTTCTGAGCGAAGTTTATTTGAACGTCGTTCCTCCAGTTTCCAGTAATGACTGATGAATGTCTTAGTGCTGCTCTGCTGATCAGCTCAGTGAGAACCAATCAAACACAGCTGAGCTCATCAGAATCACACTGAGCTGCCAGTTGTTTACTCCTCTGACAGCACTTTACACACAAACACACGACCAACTGTTCAACCAGGGGGAGTAACAGTGTTATATTTCATAAAGAAAGAGTAATTCTGCTGTTTAAACAGGAATCATGTGACACGCGTCCACACACAGCTGACCGGACAACAACATAACCGACTGAAATCACAGAAATATTCATAAACTCATTAATCACTATCAGTTTTGTGGGTTACTGAAACTTCCCCTTCCACTTCTGCTTTTTGGGTCAAATTCAAGTCAGTTGCATCACATATACTCTTATAAAGATGGTTCTTTAGGGTTCTTTAGGGTTCTTTAGTAAATAAAATGGTTCTATATAGAATCATGAGTACTTAAAGAACCTTTTGCATGATGAAAGGGTTCTTTGCATCGTAAAAGTTCTTCAGATCGATGGAGAATGTGCCGTAGATGGTTCTATAAAGAACCTTTTTGAAAAGGGTTCTATACAGCACCAAAAAACGTTCTTCTACACACTTGAAAAAGATGGTTGTTCAAGAGTTCTTTAGCACAGAAAATCGTTCTATGTAGA